AGCCAGTTGAATAGGTCACTTGAGCAGCAAACGTGCCATTACCATTGCTGAGAAAAACACCGACGTTGTTTGAACCGTAGTTTGCGACAATAATATCAAGTATGCTGTCTCCATTGACATCGACTGCTGTCACCGAATGCGGGCCAGTGCCAGTGCCAGTTGAATAGGTCACTTGAGCAGCAAACGTGCCATTGCCATTGTTAAGGAGAACACCGACGTTATTTGAATCGTAGTTTGCGACAATAATATCGAGTTTGCTGTCTCCATTGATATCAGCTGCTGTCACCGAAAATGGGTCAGTGCCAGTTGAATAGGTCACTTGAGCACCAAACGTGCCATTGCCATTATTGAGGAGAACACCGACATTGTCTGAACCGTAGTTTGCGACAATAATATCGGGTTTGCTGTCTCCATTGACATCGACTGCTGCCACAGATGCCGGTTTAGTGCCAGTTGAATAAATCACTTGTGTCGGAAATCTATTACATGGAGCTATTGGGAAACAAACATCGTTATTATCATCCATATAATTATGAAAAACAATTGCCTCACCTGAGTATTGTTTACTTTCAAAATGGTTACCCCAGCTCTTACAGAGACAACATGAGCAAACAGAATAATGTCCACAATTTTGAAAAATTTTCTCTTGTCTCTCGCGAAGCTAAATACTTTTTTTTCTAGTCTATACAGTTCCCATGAGAAAACTACTACTGTACAATCCTGACTAATTTGCAGTAGCTCTCTTTTCGACTAATACATTCTTATCATCGTCTAATCTTCCTCGGGTTTCGCGATACTGCTTTCAATCTTTTATCATTGGAACTGAATTGACTCTTATCTTGGATTCAATCAGATCAGCAAAGAAAATGAACCGTTAATCGACCGAATTCGCAAGATTTTCCTTGGGCAGAATTAGTAGGATGATTGATAACATGCTCTAGATAAATTATAATCAGAAAATTGTTGAAAAGAAAGTTAGTTGGATGATATGTACAATTACGTAAGAGATGATTGATGATGTACTTCACTCAATAGTGGATACTTCAATGAGGCACTTCGATAATGGCGTAATCAAATGACATTAGCCCCAAAACAACCGTTCTTCGTTCCATCTACAATCACTCGCTTGTTCATTCGTTATCTGAACCAGACAATAACGGTATTATATTTGAGCCCATCCAAATAAAGACTCAATGATCCATTCGTCTTTTTCATAGTCCAAAAACAATAAGTTCCGTATTCTGTCTCTTTTCAAATCTATAGTGACCAATCAACTGCCTCATAAAAACTGGACAAAAATGAAGAAATTAATGAAGAAAGAAATGAGGAGAAGAAAATCGACAGCTTCTTCTCTAATCAAACTGTCGAACGTCTTGGCTGAATATCAGCTTCAGGTTCTGAAGAGTTGTTCATCAATCTTCCAAGGACGAAGCGGGTGATTTAAATCTACAAAAAATCAAATTTGAGCCACCAAAATCGTTGCTTTCCTCTTGGGCTTATCTCAGTTATAGATATATCTCACATTGATCACTAGAACTTCTTTTACGAATCCAGTTGTATAAATATTTATGTACACATGCGAAAAAAAACGCAAATGTTGCCTTACTGGTTGTTGTCGTCGTTATTGTTGTTGTTGTTACTGTCGTCGCTGTTGTTGTTGTTATTGTTGTTACTGTC